AGAGAGAGAGAGAGAGAGAGATCCCTTGACAAAAATATGGTCACCCATGAGACTATCTTATTCCTTGAGCTTTCATTTGAAACCCTTCTATGGAGTAGTCCATCATTTATATGATCAAGCTCATACTATTGCTTCATTAATGTATTGATTTTTCTTCTCATATTTTTAATTCCTACTTCATTTCCATTATCAATGCTTTCTGTAATTCTTAATTTACAGTAGCTTTCTTCATTTTTGGTCATGAAATCTTGATATTTGAATAGTCTCAAAGCAATAGTGTAGTCCATACACATAATATGTGTAGACTAGCTTGCTTACTTTATGATCTTGAGTAGTTTCAACTTGATTTTGTTGATCTTATTTTTTTGAAATTTTTATTGAGAATATATACAACTGGTGAGACGTTTATTTCATCATATTTGAGCATAAGAAATAGTCCATTGAGTTCCCTTTTACTGTTGAAAAGTTTGTGTGGTCCCTTATGGACCACATGATGTAGTTTCACTATAACTTCCTTATTTTGTGTAATATCTCTCCCAAACTTTGAAGAGCTATTTTGATACATGTCTCTCTCATGATTTTATCCCTATTAAATATGATCATTTGCTTCCCATTAGATATATCTCCTTGAGTTATTATTATCACCCGTGCCTTAGACAATGAGACAAAATTAAGTCATCAAAATGCCCTTTCGTGGCCTGGGCACAAGGGGTTCGAACTATGGTTTCCCCATGTATGTTTGCATGTTAATTTGATGTATTTACAGTTATTAAATGGATACATGATTGGTTAAATTGAGTATGTTATGTGAATATTGAGATTGTTTTTTAATCTTGCAGTATGAGCTTTAATGCTATGCATTATTGTTTACGCGAATTGAAATCTTATTGAATTATTATGATCAAGTGTGGATGTGAATGAGATATTATCATATATGATGATGATGATGAATGAAGATTAAATTATCATATAATTTTAATATAATGAGGAATTGCGAGTGCAAATCATGCAATATGTTGTAGAGATGTACATTATGAATATTTGAATATTGTATTCAGTTTAATTGTAATTCTGAGTAAGAGAATTGTGAGGGACCTATAAGGAGAGAATTGTGAGGGACCTATAAGGATTGAATTTTATTATTCAAATGTGCATAAACCATGTTTGTAGGGTAGAATATATGTATTATGATTTTGTATTGAGATATTCATGCATTTAAACCCTTGAGTTTTAATACAATGAAAATTTTTTAAAAGATTGCATTTCTAGCCCATTGGTCTTATACCGCCAACACAGTTTACCATTTTCATGTGAACACTGTATATAGAGAGAGAAAGAGCATCAAATCCTATAACAAATCATGAAAGGGAGATAAATAAACCTAAAATTTGTAATATATGATGTATTTACCTTAAATTGGTTGATATGCTACAAAGTACTCCAAAAATAAAATTGGGGAAAGATTTCTTATCTCAAAGATCTGTTGAGGTGACGAAAATGAAGGAGAGAGAGAACGCGTGAGAGATCGACAGCCAGAAATGTTGAGGTGGGAAAGGAGAATAGAACCTTAAAATGGTAGAAACAGAACCGTAAAGATGGAAATGGTCTCTGACTAGGGTTAATAGAGGTTGATAGTATTACGACATTTTGAGTGCCATAATACAAAGTCTAATTTTTACTGTAAAAAAACTACCATTTAATACGACCAAGTTTATGGTACTTAAAGTACCGTAATATTACTTCAAGTTACTAGGGTATTTTAAATACCATATAAAATGCAATGTATATTACGGTAGTATGACGACCGTGAAGGTCATTTTGGTAAAAAAAAGTAAAAAATGAGGAAAAAGGGTATAGACGAGGTTTACAAAAGTTTCGGTTTTTTTCTTCCTCTAATTAAACTTAAATTAAGGGATATTTGTGATAATTACCCAATTTTTATCTAATAAAAAATTTAATATTTAGTACTAAAAGTATTCATTTGTGATTAAACGTGGATTTTTAAATACTGGATATATATGTATATATATAAAAATTTCTAGACAATAAAAAACTATAGCTTGTGACAATAATTACTTTAGAATTTTTATAAAATGACAACTTCCTTCAAAAAATGATAATTGAGTCCTTTGTCTATTTAATAAAATGCACCATTACTTAAAAATGAGTATTTAATAAAAATAATTCATAGAATGAAAAATTTTATACAATTCAATAAGTTTTTACATTTATAGTGTTTCATACTATTTGTTCAAAAAGCTATAAATATATATAACAGGTAAAAAATATTTTGAAATGTAAATCATAGTTAGCATAATTTTGTTCTATGAATGTAGTTTTTTAAAAGTCAAAATTACGTGCTTAAATTTGTAATTATAACATACAATTATAATTCTTATAATTCAAAGGGTGCTATTTTTATACCAATTTTGGATTATACTTATTTTGAAATTTCTAACCTATAATTATAAGAGAAATTATCCTATAGGAGCCTCCCTCACCCATGTGTGTATGACCCCAAATGATCACCATTAAATTTGGCACATATCTATAGTAAAGTCAAGTCCCACATTCATGTGATAAATTTTCTAGCAATCAGTGCCAACTTTAATATTGATCTTTTTGGAGTCCTACACACATGGGTAGGGAAGGGTCCTATAGGATCATTACTCTAATTATAATGCAAAATAGGTATAATGCAAAATACGTATAACGTATAATATACCTATTTTGGATTATACTATAATTATAAAGCAAAATAGGTATAATGCAATATATATAAAAATACGTATAACTTATAATGCAAATAGGTGTTATTTATAATGCAAAATAGATATAAATATATTTATAAAGCATATTTCTATTTAAGAAAAATGAGAGAGAGAATGGAGGAATTTGCGAGGAGAGAAAAAAAAGAGAGGAATGTTGTATTTGATGTATTTGCATGATGCCATGATGCATATGGGATGGATGCGAGAGAGAGTTAAGGAGATGATATAGAAGAAGAGGTAGTTGCATGGATATGGAGAGATGAAAAAATATGGGAGAGATGGAGAGAGAGCATAGTGATGAGGTGGTATTACCCCAAAAAAGGAGTTAATGATTTGAATGCATGTGGAGAGAGGATAAATTGGGAGGGAGACAGATGAAAAGTTCATGTACTTGCATTTATATGGAAAGAGAGAGGAGAGAGAGAGGGAGAATGAAGAAATATGCTAGGGATAAAAATAAGAGATTTTGACCACTAAAAAGTTTATGGGATGTGAGAAGAGAGAGAAAGGTATATGAAAGAGAATTAAATGGGCTGAAACCACTATGGAGGAGTCTGTTAAAAAGAGAAGACGACTGCGAAATTAGAAAAGGAGTCACTTGGTGAATGTGAATCCATAATAAATCTAACAGATCTACTATAAGGAAATAGGATCTTTATTTTCTCTCAACCTATGCTTTTATATGCTGTCAACCCACGAGCTGATTGCTACAATATCAGCCAATAGCCCAGATTGAATCTGGGCTGATTTGACAATCACAATCTTATTTTGTATTTTATTTAACACAAATCCAAATTAATTGAAAATTTAATCTTACATTCTACTAATCAACACGCACTTATTGATCAAAATACCCCTAAAAAGTTTTGGGGGTGTTTTGATCAATTTATATTTTTCAAATTATTTTTTTAAATATTTTTTTAGATTCTATTATTTTTTAAGAATAGATGTTCAAAATTTCAAGTAATTTGGATTCGTATTAAAAAAAAAATGAAAATTTAAATACGAAATGAGGTCGTGACCATTAGATTAGGCCCAAATTCAATCTGGGCCGTTGGCTGATACTGTAGTTATCAGCCTTTGGGCTGATAGG